ATGCTCTTCAACCTCAAGCAATAAATTACAATTAATGGTTCAGGGTTTTGGAGTGGGGTAGCCAGTGTATGGCGACCACATGGCAGTCCCTCCGTTTCGTAGGCCCTGTTGCATATGGTCCTGGCGGCCGTAGCTCCGACGCCCTCAATCGGATTCTTGCAGACCTCTGTACTCGGGGCCACCCTAAGGTAGTGATTTTCTAATTTTCTTCGTCCCTCTCTGTTTGATTCCGAGGGTAACGTAAGGATAAGAAACTGGTGGTTTCCATACTGGCGTCGAGTGTTTTGATTTGTGGGGTTTCTTCGTTATTAGAGGACATGATCACCCCAAACCACCCAGTCACCATCTACTAACGCTACTTGTAGGCACAGCTACTGTCTGGTTCATGGAAGAAGTGAAAGTCCATTGGGAAGGAAATAGGTTTCTTGTGTGAAAATCGGTTCTTCTTATATGTGAGTTCTTAGTTTTGTACTTGTTCAGTGGTATGTAGTTGGGGCCAACTGTGTCAGACGTTTTGTTTGGTAGCCATGATCTGGTGGAATATCAGGCTTGTCAGCCTGCTATGTCCACCTCAACTCCAGCCAGTCCCTGTAAGCCACTAATTCGTGACCCAACAGAATTGCTGAAAAATCCGTAAGAAACTTCGTAAATTAATAATGATTAATGTAACTTCAGATAAGAGTAAGACTTGTTTCTACTGCTGTAATGGGTACCCAAAACTATAAAATCCTGTCCTGTTCGAAGATCAAGGATTCAAATCTCATCCATTTTGATGTAATGATCAACAATTAACCCCCTAAATTCCAAAACAAAGCAACGCTAGAAGCTGACAATCCTTGGAACATAAATCAGTATAAGAAAAGAGCCAATAATAATAATAATAATCCAAGATCTCATGGGTTAATTCTTGAACCATTGGCTCTGCCAGCATTATTTGAATCATTCAAGAGAAGATAGAATCAGTGCTGACTGGATGGCCAGTGATGAGTCCGACTCGCATGAAAGCTAATAAGTGTGACGATTTGCTCAAAATTTTCCTAGAAACAGCACCAGATATCATAAGTATTGATCGAATACAAATGTTAGTTAGGGGGCAGCTCAAGCAAAAGAACATTTCATACCAGTCAGTAATTACACAATTATTACTAATTTGATGGTTACTTCTATCTCTCAAGGAGATCTACACCGGCAAAAACATCATGTACAATGGATATTTACTTCAACCAGTTGTGTGGCAGATCTCTTCTTAAACTTGTTCTGCTCGAAGCCCAGTAGAAAATCTGTAAATATGTGCTCGTAATCTGGCATCTTCCCATACCCTGCATTAATGTTTTTGCAAAAGCTTGGTTTAAACACTACACTACAATCTACAAAAAGAAAAGAAGACGGTAGATGGAAGCGTGTACAAAAACATTTCAGTCTGAAGCCTGCCAAAATGAATCAGATTGAAAGGCAAATCCTCAATACAGTTCTACGTACCAGGAAAGTAGTTAATGTCAATGACATAAAACACATCTCTACTCCCATACTCTCGTATCATGTCTATGTTGAACAAGCGGAGACCCTAGAAAGTACAACAGATTCAGTCAACACAACGAAATACGTAACTGCTACATAGCTCAATGTAATGAGATAACATAAACTTGCCATTCGACGACGGAGCTCCCTTGCGAGCTTCTCCAGCAATGGTCGTGGAGGTAACTCTGCAATCAAAATGCAAGATATAAGGTTGTATAAAAAGCAAATTTTGTAGCGACTGCTTTGCAAGTCTTGACAATTATGAACTCAAGAATCTCTTAGCAAAGATATTAAGAACAAAACACATTCAGCTCATTTAACATGTACAAGAAGTGGGACCAGATTTTTCGAAATGATACTAAGAATGCATGGTAGTAATGGAAATACTATTCACAAGTCACTAATTAATATGTTTTAAGAGTGCACTCATACACTGGACAAGCATGGTATCTCAATCACTCACCAGCAATACCAGGATCCAAATCTGCATCATCAGCAGAAGATGCAGAAGATGAAACCCTTGGAAAGCGGAATACACCAGCATCTTTTGCCAGATTACATTTACTGACATTGGGCAGAGAGAAACGCCTTACCACCTTAATAGCATCCCCAATGATATAGATTTTAAAGAGAACACCACCTAATATGAAACAAGCATGGATAAATTCCAAATAACTAGTATAATGATGGCAAAAAAGAAAATGTTTAGGTCCACAAATCAATTGCAAGAACATACCATGATTAACAAACTCCTGCAAAACCAATGGAGGCTCAAGCTTTGACAGGGATAACTGATCATATGCAAGAAACAGCTGATGTGACTTCGCGCTACCATCCACTACTAGTGGTTTTGCGACTGAAATGTTTAAATATGCAAGATAAAGAAAACTTTATGCAATTGTCAATCAGCCAAAATGAACAAAAGAAAATATAGAAGAGAGGGATTACAGAAACTCTCCTAGGGCATTATTATTATTTTTTTTTGGCCATCTCCAAGGTCATTGATCAACCTATATTTCTTTGAGGTTTGAACTTTCTCTTGACCAAACTCAGCTCTAGTCATCTTACAGTGAATTTATATTGTAAAGGAAAATTAGCCACTGGAACCTAAAATGAGATCCTAGTCGCTGGAACCCTCATAAAGCTAACAAATACAAACAAACAATACCTAGTGGCAAACATAGTCCAGCTTTAGTAACTTCATCAGGAATGGATAATGGATCTTTCATGACAAACAGTTGCCTTGGAACGCCAACCCTGCCTACAAAAATGCAAAAAGCCAATGCAAAAATCACCATGCAACCACTTTTTCCATAACTGATACAGTCTTGAGCAAAAATAATAAAAGAACAGACAACTGTACCAAGTTACTTCTAAACTGTGTGTATATATATATACATACATACTTCTAAAGTTCAAACAAATGCACATTAATTACCATGACAGTCAGACAAGTCCAAATCTGCAACGTCCTTAAGCATAGACTGGCGATTATGCAGATGTCGTATTGCATCTGGAGGATCGAGAACAGTTACTTCTGGATGATTTTTCCCATAATCCTTCAAAAAGGCAAGACGGAAATAAGAAAGGTTGCCTGAGAATAGATAGCTACAACCAAAATGACTATAAAATGATTAGGATATCTTTTACACCAGGTCCTAGTGCCAAATCAGACAAGTAAATAAGTTATTCTTAAAAGGAAATTTCCTATAAAGATATGGTGAATGTTTCCTCAATGAATCAGAGGGCACTTCAATTGATAGCAAGACATCAAATATACTTACTTTGCCTATAACCTCTAAAAATTTCAAGGGGGTTAAAGGCAATGGGCTCCTTCCAAAAATGAGGGAAAGATCCTATATGGTTTACACATATAAAACATGCGTCATCTGTTCAATAATAACTGGCAGCAAAATGTTCTTATTTGTATAACCTAGGGGGAAAATGGCAAAACAAATTTCATCAAGTTATTCCAAACAGTAAAATCCTCACTTGTTCCAATTCTCAAGGGACCGATTTTCAATTATCTGATCATGATTCATGATGAGAACTAAGATGAGCTAGAAATCTGCAAATTTTATCAGAAAACATGGATTTTAGGTTAAGCAGATTTTTGTTCAACCAAATCACTACCTCCCCCCCTCACATCTAATTTCCAAACATGAATGGATGGAATTACTTTTACATTACATGTGGTAAGTCAAGAATTGACAATACATTCAATTCTCTCTTTTGCTGATGCAATCATTCAATTCTTATATAAAACTATAAGATATAAGAATCAAGAATTCAGGTTACAAACCTCAATAATCTCACACCATTCTTTCCCCAGCAACTGAAAGCAAACATAAAGTCCATCAGTCATTTCTCAAAGGTTGAGAATATATTTTTAACACATGAAGAGGCAACAGAAAACTCAAAATGCTAAGCAATTGTCTAACCACCAATTAAAAATCATCACATACAGGACAACTGACAAGAGAACAAAACTTTTTCCAACAATTTCTTATGGAAGATGCAAGGAAGTCTTGGAAGAAATCATGCTAACCTTGTGCAAAATAATATCAAAAGGTCCTTGGTCTGATAGTGGCCTGTTTAGATCAATGGCAACCAATAAGATCCCCTTATTGCTGCACCAAGAATAAATATATTCTCCCAATCAATATTAAATATGTGCAGCACAGTATGAATAAAAAAAGTTCACTAATCAGAAGACCAGAGCTTATTCCAGTAAAACTTTTCATTTTCATCATTCTATTAGGAATTACAGAATTTGTTTAATCAAATAACATAACAAGGAAAATTAACTTGAAAGGTGTTAGTACTCCCTCCACTAATTACTATCCTAAAGTTAGAGACTAAAAAATAGTAACATGATCGAAAATGACCATCATAAATTGCACATTAAAATAGACAATACAAAAGGATGTCAAGCAAAGCTTTGAATTGCACCATACAATTAAAAAATAAAAATAAAAAACTCCCATAGAATACTTTACAACAGTACAGTTTAAACATAAAACAGCCCACCTAAGCAAATGTGAAGAAGTTTATATAAGTACAAAAACTTCCATAGCATGCAGTAAAAAGCAAGAAGACACATCTTTTACTGCAAAATGTATAGAGGACACAGTCAAATGCTAAAAATCAGTACACATTGGTTGAATGAAGAAAAACATCCCCTGTAAAACGACAATTACAAAAAATTAAGGCGGGAATGGACAAATAAAAAAATCTTAATAAAATGGTGCAGATAATATTGGTATTTTTAATCTTAACAGAGACAACAAGCATTGACTTTGAAATCTAGATGGTATATATGGTGGAATATTCCCAATTAAAAGTCAAGACAAATACCTAGATTCCAACAACTAAATCAACGACATGAGAATAATCAATTTGCATGTATCAACTCAAATATGAATACGAGGTATGGGATAATTTTAGTCCTTATCTTTTACCACTGCAAAATATTATTTTCCATAGAAGCATCACAAAAAAAAAACAAAAGAAATCAAAACAAGGGAACTAAGAAAGAAGAAAAAAGCACCTATTCGTCTCCATTCTATGGATCAGGCTAATTCTGAGAATACAATAGGAAAGAGATGGGATCAAAACAACCCAAAAAACATCAGACTCATAATCAACATCACATATATGCATAAAAACAAACGTTACATTTATACACAACAATAATGAAAAGGGAAAAAAACACAAAAACACAAAGAGCCATTAAGAACAGAAATCCAAACAAGAAATGGGTATAATTGAATTTTCCAGAAACATGTATTGATGAAGATGGGAACTGGAAATGAAAATGGGTATTCGAGTAAATACCGAGCCAAGCGCTCAAACTTGGGTTGCAGGAAACTCCTCTTCTTCTTCAATGTCAAGGCGTAGCCAACAACCACCTTTTGCTGCTGTGGAAAGGCCAGGATATTGACCTCACTCTCTCTCTTTTCCTCTTCCTCTTCCTCTTCCTCTTCTTCTCTCCAATGAGAAATCTCACCTTTCAACCTCATCCCCACTCCCTTAAAAACTCTAAATAACAAAAATTTATCCCTTTCCCTTTTCTTAATAATTTCTGGGTTTCGTTAATCTTATTAAAGATTGATCCTTTCCCTCCTCCCTCTGAAGATTGCTCTTAAACAAGAAACAGAATTGCAAAAACACAAAAACCCAAATGAATTAAATCTTCCTCAACTCTTCCTCTCCGTCCATACAATTCTCCCCCAAGATTCATTTCATTGTTTTACATAATCATCTGGGTATACACAGAATCCATCAACAAAATGAGAGAATTTTCTGTAGGAAACAAGAAAGATGGGAAATGGGTTTTCTCAAGATTTCCGCTTTGAGAGTCTCACAGGGGTAATTCATGTACATATAGTTGGATAGAGGCAGAGATTGGGGATTGGTTTTGGAAAGGAATATTTAGTTTTGCAGAACAAAGAGAGGACTTTGCAGAGGAGAGGACAGAGAAGACTGAACTATTTTGTATTTATAGAGAGATGATACGAAGATCATGCTGTGCAAACAGAAGATGCCAAATGTGCAAATCACTGCTAAGCAAGTGTCTAACATTTCCTTTAAACGCATTAAGTTAACGTGACGTATATTTTAAAGATAATAGGGTTTATCAGTTTGATTTATATATAAAAAAATAAAATAAAATAATGTAGGTATATAAATTATTTTTATTTTAAAAGTTAAGATATTTTAATTTTTTAAATAAATATTTACCTT